TGTACTATATACACAGTAGACTGTCTGTTAATCTAATGCAGAAGGCCTGGAGATACTACATTGATGTAGCTTGTTATTGCCAAAATGTCACTTTAACATATAGTTAAAAGGTTATTATTTAACATTTTACATGTAATTGGCAGCTGCTAAATAAAATGAAGCAGATAATACATTTACATGCATTAAAACAATAAAAATGCAGAAAAATGTAAATAAACAAAACAGAAATCTGGACACAAAAAAGTATTTAATTTAATTAATTACTTAAATAATAATAATTAGTATAAACCCATGATTAATAAAGCTGAGTAACATCAATTTTTACCCATTATGACCAACTGTTTTTGAGGTTTATCTGTTTTAAACATGTCTGGTGAATAAACATGAAATAAGCAAAAACAGACAGCTGATTTTAAAAGAGGGTAACAGTCTTTAGTCAGAAAAATGTCTGGAAAATATTGTTTTAGTGATACAGTTAAGAGGCGCTTCATCCAAACAAAGAACGAAGCCAAAAAACTGCAGCGAGTTTGTTTTGCTCAGGGACCGCATCAATCAGAAGCTCCTTCGCTTTCCACCGCTCGAGACTCGCTATGCAAATTATTCTGATCAACTCCCTTTATTAAATCGGCTTGTTCATTGCCACGCGTATTCAGCTGGAGGCCCAAAGGTAGCCGCGGCATCTCCAGTCGAGGCTGTTATCTCTGACGGAGGGTGAAGGGGAGGAAACAAGCAAAAAAAAAAGCATTTTTCATAACCAGGGCGTGTTGCAAGCAGCCATCTGAATGATTGACTCCATGTTGGTGTTCACTGATGCCTTGATAAATGAGAGCTGTTGTCAGCACATCTGCATGGATTCGGTAAAAAACAGACGTGCAGCGAGAGATAAATCAACAGTAGAGGAGCAAACCTGAAGCTCGACATTTCCTCTGCTCTTGTTCATTTCCCTAAAGAGAGCTCGTGTCGCTCATGCAGAGAAGGTGACTGAGTCTTGGATGACCGACTCCTATGCGTGTTCAAAAAGGCAACCTAATTGGCCAAAAAAAATCTATGTCAGGAGATCTTTTATGGTAACAGTTTGACACAAACGTTTTGGCTAATTTAGATAATATAATATGATAATATGATGGTAAAAGTGTTGAGTTGAGTACTTTAAATAGTGTTCTTCACAGAGATGGGAAGTAACGAAGTACAAATAC